GTTTTTCTCTCACCCACGCAGCACGCCCGGCAGCCTTTGGTGTCCTGGATCTTGGTGGAGACCATGTTCTTTCTGCAGAAGAAGGTAGGTGGGAATGGAAGGTAGGCAGGAAAGGGGATTTCAGGGGCCTGGGGTGCCATTGGGGGCTGGTACCTTGCCAGGAGCCGGTGGGGACTAATATGAGAGATGGGGCTTCCTGCTCTGGTCTCTTTCCTCTCCAGCAGGCCCAGGATGCTATGAGAATACAGGTGGGGGGTCTTTCCTGCAGTGTGCATATACATAGGGGGAGGCAGGCAGTTATAGGACACTGGGCACTCCCACCTTTCCCCATAGCTTCACCAGGCCCCATTGCCTTGTCTGAAACTCACAAGCCTTCAAGCCTTAAGCACTTTTCATTAATTATTTTTCACTTAACATGTTTTATACACCCACTGTAGGCCAGGCACTGTGCTTGGCCCTGGTGAACAGTGGTAAGTAAAAGAAATACGTTCCTTGCCCTTTGGTGCTTGTAGGCACATAAACTATGGACCCTTCACTAGTCAGATGAAGTTATACACATTGCCAAGTTTAAGAAGAAAACTATCTAGAAACTTTTAAATTTGTCATCACAGATATTAACTAGCTCATGAGTCCTATTTGGCTTGGAATTTCCCCATAAATTAGAAATTCTTTTACACAAAGTGTTTATAAAACAATGGCACAAAATTTTCATCTATAACTTGCTCACTCTATTTTTGTAGTGCAGGGTAAATTCTAATTGTCATCTGGACATCAAAGAAAAGTAAACACTAACTTATTGTAGAAATTCCCTCAAAACTGACTTGAAAGGTGGGCCCATTTCATAGATGGGGAAACTGATACTCAGGGAGCAGACATCTCCTGCCCCAAGTGAAAGAGTGACTGGAACTTGAACCTCAGGCTCTGTGAAGGGGGAACCTAGGCTTTTGTCAGCTATGTCCACCTACCTCCTAACCCCCTGACCCTCAACCCCTTAACTTCTGACCATATCCTTCCCATCCCCCAACAGCCAGACCTGAGAGAGACATGAGGACATTGTTGATGGAGTACACCCAGGTAGTCCGGCTAGGAAAGAGCTGCAGAGAATGTGGGAGATGGCTCCTGTAAGACCCCAGCCATCCCCAGCTCCAGCCCCCGCCCTCAGCCCATGCTGGGTACTGTCCCTCACCATCTCCAGCGTGGCCTCCTGATCATTCCGGTTCAAGATGAAAATGCCTTCCTCTGCCCCTAGGATCAGGTGCTGGTCTTGGGGAAAAGACACAAGGACAGTGGGACCTGCCTCATCCTGGAGAACCTCCCAGACCCCCATCTGTCTGATCCCAAACACTGGTACTCTGTCCCCCAGCGCTGACCCTCAGTTCTCTAATTTTCACCCCCCACCTCAACACTCCCAGCCTGTTTCCCCAAATCTGAACTAAAACCCTGACCCAGTCCCTCTAACTGGTCTCATTCTCACCTACCTCTGACTTCTCACATTCTGGTCGTTCTTCCATCACTGACCCACAAATCCTGACCCTCTGTCCCCTCAGGGCTGACCCAAACATTAGACATGCCTCTCTGAATAGCCCTCTAAGTCCTGTCTCTCTTTTGCCCTCCCTAGCTCTGGTCCCTGAAGGCTAATCCTGTCTCAGCACTGATCCTCAAACTTGACCCCCCAAATATGGCTTTTTCTGTTCAATGTGACACTCCTCAAACCCTAAGCTTTTTAACCTCTCATTGACCTTGTCTCCATATCTTTGAGCCCCAAACCCTGTCCATTTCTGCTACATTCTAATCCCTAAATCTCCTGACCCCAAAATGCTGATCTTAGTCTCTCTACCATTAATCTCCAACTGAGGTTAATGAGGTTAATGGGGCCCAACTGTCCCCATCTCGTACTCCAAACTTTGCTCTTTCTGCTGTATCTGATACTTGCAGCCCCCAAGCCCTAATTTTCCTAGTTTTCGCTCACAAACCCATCTTCACACCACCCATCTTTGATCCCCAAACCCCACTTAGCTCCAGGCGCTGTCCCTGCCTCAGCTTTGCCACTCCCCACCCTATTAAGAGCCTCCCTGGTCCCTGCCTTTGCACCTTCCATGGAGGTCCCTCCCCATCCCCCCACACTCTCTGTGACCCTCCTGAATGCCCACCCTTGGTGGAGGGGTGTGTCCAGGCAGCCGTGCTGTGGATCCGGAGGGGGCAGCCGTTGAACAGCTTTACAAGAAGGGCACATCCCTAGGCAGGCACAGGGAGCAGGGCAGGAGATCCAGCACAGGGGAGGAGCAGACAGGAAGGGCAGTGGTTAAGGCTCTGGAGCAAGAGCGCCAGGGTTCAGATTCTGCCTCTGCCTCCTCAAAGGTTTATGACCTTGGCAGGCTACATATCCTTCTCTGCCTCCGATTCCCCCTCTGTGAAATGGGGACAATATCTACCTCTGTCTGTAAAGGTTTACACCATGTGAAGACATGGGACCAGCGTCCGGCACAGAGGAACTGCTCCGCAGATGTCACCTGTTGTCATTGTTGGTCTTCCCACCCCCACCCCACCCAGCACCCCCAGTCCCATCTAGAGGTGTGAGTCCTCAGCATCACTGGCCTCACCTTTTTCTTCATCTTTTCCTTCTTGGGGGGCAACAATGGGGGCTGGTCAGATTCCTGAGGGGCTGGGTTCCAGAGTGAGGGTTCTGAGACAGGATGGGGGGAAATCAGTCCCCAAAGTCCTCCCACCCCTGCCCTCCTCCCACCCTAGCCTGCCCCGGTACCTGAATGGGCAGTTAGATGGGGGCTTCGGGTGGCTGGGGGAGGCACAAGATGGGGGGTACGTGGGGGAGGCCCACTGGCACACCGGACCAGCACCCCCGGGCTCAGCTGCCCCTCCTCCCCAGGCCCCCCGGGACCCTCGTCCGATGGAGACCGGAACTTGGGCTTTGGAGATAGAGAAGGGGGGCGGGCAATACATTAGATGATCTCAGAGACAGGACACCCTGCCTTCCCAGCCCTGCCTCAGCTAGAACTGAAATTTGGTCATAGCCCTGACCCTCCCTACAATGTCCCATCACCACTCCGGCTTCCCCCTCTACCCTCCCCACCCCCATCAACACACTCCAGCAACTAAAGGGTTCATGGGGGGTGCACCAGCTACTGACCAGTGTCCATCAGGCTAAATATTTGGAATCACACCTGTAGGTTCAGGGATGCAACTTCCATACCCCAATGTGCTCACTGTCCCATCTCCCAGACTTCAAGGGACCCGGTGTCCCTGACTCCAGCCCTAGAATGCCCTGTATCCCAGCATCTAAGGACCCTGACCTCCTGGCCCCCAGCCCCCCAGCTCTGGCCCAGGACCTCACCTTGGGGGGCAGCGGGGGAGGTGTGTCCTCTGCAGGGGTGGGGCTGAAACACAAAGGTTAAGCAGGTAGGGGTGTGGTTTGGGGCTGGATGTCTGAGCTGGGAAAGGTCAGGGGTGACTTGGTCTGTGTTGGAGCTGAGGACTAAAGGGCTAATTAATAACCCTGATGACAATACAACAGCAACTCTTGGAGATCAAGTGCTGACAAGGCATCAAGTCTAAATCTTCATGGTGACCTAGCAACACAGATTTATCTGAACTCCTGGAGGTCAGGTTCTCATGAGTTGCCCAGTGCCCATGCGAGCCCATGACAGGCACGAAGGGAGCCCTGAGGCTGGTACTGGGCCTGTGGGCTGGGACTGCTGGGGTTGAGGTTGGGGTTCGAGACCCAGGGTCTAGCATGGGGAAAATTCCCAAGGGCCAAGGTTTGGTCTGAGGTTTCATGAGAAGATGAGGAAAGATGAGGGCCTATGGTTGAGGGTTGGGGCTACCGTTGAGGTCTGGGGGTTGGAACAACATCTGGGAGGAGCTGGGGGCTGGGATGTGGCAGAGGGTCCAGGACTGAGCCAGAGAGATGGGGAAAGAGCTCAGGTTAGAACAGAAAGAACTGGGGGCTGACAGCAATTGGGGGCTGAAGTTGGGAGTCAGGTCAAAAGTCCTGTGAAAAGATGGAAGGAAGGTGGGGACTGGAGTTGGGGTGGGGTTGGGGGTCAGGGGTCTGAAGTGAAGAAAGGTGAAGGATTGAGGTTGGGTGGGGTTAGGGAACAGGGGTTGGGGAGGAAGGAGAGTGGGAGCTGGGCTGGGGGTCAGGTCGGGGTCATAGGTTGGGGGTGAAGGAAGGTGGGGCTGCATTGAGGGTCCAGTCAGGGGTCAGGGATGCATGGTGGAAGGAGAGGAGGGGCTGAGGTTGGGGTCATGGTGGAAGCAAGGCAGGGGTTGTAGAAAGGCAGGGCCAGGTAAGGGCCTCAAGAGCTGAGGGCCCAGCCTCTCTTACATGTCCACGTCATCGTAGTCATCGTCAGACTCCGACTGGTGCCTCCTGAGGAGTGACAGGCATGAGCCTCAGGCAGTTCCCACACATATCCTAGCCCCCTCCCCTCCCGGCCTGAGGGTCCCTCACCTAGGACTGCTGCTCCTGAAGTCTTCAGGGGGCTGTAAGCGAGCCTGTGGGATAGTAAAGGGTCAGCAGTGGCCTAGGGGAAGGGGAGGGTGTCTGGGGCCAGTGGGGTGGGAGAGGGGCTTCTCACAGTGTCAGCTGCAGGTCTGGACTCCATTGCTCTGAGCTTCCTGAATTCCATGTGCTGCCCTGGAAGTTGGGGAGACGGGGAGGTAACACACAGTGAGCTGGGGAGATGGATTCAGAACTAGAGTAAATTGGGGGGTTTGGGGTGGGCATCTTAGGATTAGAGCTTTTCCTTAAAGGGAGGGATCTTGGTTTACAGGGGTCTCATTTGGGGGCCAGGGTTTGGGATTAGGGAGGGGGGGGCTCAAAGTAGCAACAGAGTGTTCCGTTTCAAGTTCCATTTGGGTATCAGGGGTCTGCCATATTTCTGAGGTCTCTTTGGGAGTCAGGGTGGTAATGGGAAGCCTGATGGGGTCTGTTTGCAGGTCAGAGCAGTGGGTCCTCTAGAATCACCTTATAGGTCAGGTAGTGATGAGGTTCTCTGGGGTCTCTGAGGGTTTGTTTGGAAGTGATGAGTGATGTAGGGGTGGAGGGGGTCTCTTGGATCTATTATAGGGTCAAGGGTTCCCAAGTTAGAGGACTCTACTCACGATAGCAATCTGCATCTGGAACCCCCAGGGTGCTGGCTCGGTGGGTGGATTTGATCCGCCGAGGGATGGCAGGGGGCAGCTGGGCAGAGCGGCAGCAGCATCAGGCCACTGCCTTCTAGCAGCCCCTCCACCCTGTGGGCCCAGCCCGGAGCCCTTGACCCTCCCATAACCTCTGTGCCCGCAGCCCTGTGCCAAGCCCCCCACCCTTCCTCCCATTTATCCTTGTAAGAGAAGCGGCAGGAAGGCACAGGCAGGGGGCACAGCCTGAACAAAGGCTGGGAGGTGCCAGGGCTTCTGTCAGCAGGGACGCCTCACCTCAGGCTCCTCATCTTCAATCTCACCCACAGGGGCCCCCTTCCCTGGGTTTCTCAGTTTGTCAAGAAGATCCAGGATCAGGCCTCTATTGAGCCCAGGCTGCGACACCAGTTGATGCTGAAGGAGGGGACGAGGGTATCAGCAGTCAGAGGGCTGGTGTGAGGGAGAGGCTGGGACAGGGGCTGGAGAGCCTGTCTAGGGGAGCAGAGGGAGAAGGCGGGAAACTGGGGAACTGGCAGAAGACTAGGGAATTCTGAAAAGTCTGAGGTATTAAAAGAATTCAGGGATCCCGGTGGGGGGCTTGGAGAATTCCATTCCAGAATACACCCAGGAATGGGTCTTGAGGCCCTTGGGAATTTGAGTTTTAACAACTCAAGATATCTTGGGAAAGGGTCTGGGGTACAAGCTGGAGGGTCTTGGGGCACCCTGGGGAATTCTGAAGGACTAGGGACTCTGAGAGGACTATGGGGTTCTGTGGAACTAAACCATCAAAGTTCTAGGGGTCCGTGCGACCCTGGGGAATTCTGGGGTGAGCTTGAGGAGGGTTTGGGGGAGGGAAGGTTTACACTGAGCATCTTGGTGGCACTGGGTCGTTTCTTGGGGTTCTTGGTGAGGGAGACTTTGACAAAGTTGTGGAAGGCAGCCGACCTTGGGAGGAAGAAGCCAAGTTCTGGGGTGAGGGAACCAGAGACATTCCCATCAGACCATCAACCCTGGCTCTGCCCTCCCTCCCATCACCTCCTCCTACCATTTGCCTTTTTCCTTTAGCCGTGGGGGCTGGTAGCCGCTCTTGGTCATGAGGAAGAGAACCCTACAAGGGGAAGGAGAGTACATGGAGTTCAGACTCCCAGTGGGGGCTAGAGGGGCTCCCAAGAGCACTGAAGTCAGCAGAGAACCAGTGAGGGGCAGAATGAGAATGAGGCTTAGGTTTTACCCTGCACTGAACCGCCACTTCCAGGGGACACCACGTATCACATTATAGAGCTACGAGAGTCACAGAGGGAGCTCAAGGTGGGGGTCCCTGAGCTGGGGGTTCCCGGTGTGGAGGGCTAAAGAAAAGGCTTTCTGGGTTGAGGGGATCCTTGGGGGTCTCAGGTTGGGTTTTGAGGAAAGGGAGGTCTCCTGTAGGTGGATCTTGATGGGGGGAAGCAGGCTGATGGGGGTGTTTAGAGTCAGTGCTGGGTGGCGTCTCTGGGCCCAGGGCAACCAGCCACACCTGCCTACCTGAGAGGGTGCACATCAAAGAGTGGTGGCTGTAGTTCAGCTAGTTCGATGGCTGTGATGCCCAGAGACCAGATGTCACATAGCTCGTTGTATCCCCCCTTCAGGGCCACGGCCGCCACTTCTGGAGCCATCCTGGGGGAAAAGACCCTCAGAGAGCCAGGGGTAATATAAAGAGGGGAAGGGGAGACTCTATAATGTGGGGAGTGGGAGGGAGGAGAGAGACAAAGAGAGGGAGCAAGGCAGAGGCTGGGAGATGGAGCCAGAAGAGTCCCAGAGGTCGGGGTGGGGAAAACTGGTGCCCCTCACTCCACCCCCAGCTGCCTGCCAGGCATCCCTCACCAGTAGGGTGTCCCAATGAAAGAGAGGCGTCGAGCCAGCGTTGCCCCAATCTGGGCCGAGATACCAAAGTCAGCTGGAGGCAGAGGGAGAGACATAGTGACTTAGGGTCCTCTGTCCCCTCAGGCCCCTAGCCAGTCTGCCTCCCCAACCCCCCAGCCACACTCACCCAGTCTGACCTCCCCAGCGTCATTGATGAGGATATTCGCTCCCTGGGGACAAGAGGAGGGATTAGAGGCTGTCAGAGACCACCACCCCTAGCCCAACACTGCCTCTGCCCCTTGGCCCCCTACCCCTGCCCCATAGCTGCCTACCACCCTAAGCCCTCCAAATACCACTCCCATCTCCTGGGCCCCCCATCCACCAAGGCCACCTTTCTGCCCCTAGACCACCTTAATGTCCCGGTGTATCTTCTTCTGTGAGTGTAGATAGGCCAGTCCCTGGGGTGGGGGTAAATATGGGGGCTGTGAGAGCCTGGGGCTGGAGCAGGGCCCTGCCCCCACCCAGGCCCACCAGGCCTGTCCTCACCTGGAGCACTTCTCGGCAGACGTAGCTGATCTGGAGCTCTGACAGGGGGCCCGTCACTGCAAAGGTCACCCCAGCACAGTGTTGGCTGGGAACCAGGAAACCTGGTCCTAAGAGCCCCTGGTCCCCGCCCAAACTGGCTGAGAGGGTGGCATGTGGGGAGTGGGATGCAGGTACAGGATGGGACAGGTGGGAGGGGTAGTCAGCGACAGGGAGAGGTAGCAGGCAATCAGAAGGCAGGCAGGGACAGATTCATTCAGCAGACATCTACTGTGTGCCAGGCACTGTGGTAGGCACTGGGGACGAAAGAGACGGATCCCTCCCCTCGTGGAGAGAACATCCTCGTGGGGAAGATCAATGATAAGCCAGATAACTAAGTAAAATACACGGTACGCAAGATGCTAATAAATATAAGAAAGAGCAAGAACGAACGACAGGAAACGCGTGGGAAGGCTATGACATTTTACACAGGCTGGTCAGCGAAGGCTACTCAGTGAAGGTGACAGGATGACAAAAGACGTGAGTAGTCCTGCTTGGAGGGGAACGAAAGCCAGCGCAGAGGCCGGGAGCTGGGAGGGTGCCTGGCAGGTGTGGAGAGCAGCGAGGGGAGGCGAGGGCAGGGGAGGGGAGACAGCAGGGGAGGTTGTGCAGCCTGACGGCTCATGGGCCACGATAAGGAGCTTGGATGCCACAGGAAGGCTCTGAGCAGGGGGTCATGGGGCTTTGCAAAATGAGGAAAGGCAGAGAGACAGAGAAGAGGGAACAGATCCACACTGAGACAGAGAAAGAAAGGTGGTCGGAGACCAAAAAGTGGGACGATGTACTGAGAAAGAGAGACAGAGGGTAGAGAGGAGCGACAGAGAAAGGCGGTCAGGGAACAGGTCTGAGAGTCTGGCTGTGTGAGTCACTTCCTCTCTGTGGGCCTCAGTTTCCCCACCTGAGGACTTCTTAATGAAGTCCTTTCTTTTCTAAAACTTGAGGTGTGGGCTGGAGGGGGACACAGAGAAGGTCAAAGGCAGAGGTTGGCATCAGAAATTGAGAGATGATCACACCCCACCCTCAAATTCTCCAAGACAGTGAAAAGCAGGCTGAGAGAAAGAATCAGAAATTCATTCATTCATTCACTGAAAATGTGGGCACCTACTATGAGCCAGAAATGCAGAAATACTCAAACACGAATAGACCTTGGTGAGAAAATGCAGACACAGAGGAAGCTAGGGAGGGGAATGTAAAAAGATTGGGACTGTCAGGTCCTGGAGGGGAGGGCCAAAGGCCCAGGTCCTCCATTTGGTCACCACAGTGTCCCCAGCATCATCCAGACCAAGCCCAGGCCCAGAGGAGGGGCTCACTGTGTGAAATATGGACCAGAAAAAACGGTTCCAGGAGACACAAACACAGAGAGGCAGGAGAGGTAGATTGGAGGGGTGGGGGCTGCCTGGGTCCCCTTGCCCTTCCTCTTACCTTGGTAGATGTCCTGGAGAGAACCAGCCCCACAGAATTCCATGCAGATCCAGAGCTTTTGCAGCCTACAACAGTCCAACAGTAATAATAATAATAATAGCAGTGATAAATTATTATTTATTAGACAGCCCCTTGCTCACTGTCTTGTTCCCACATTTTTGTTGTTTTTTTATCCTAACCAGAGGACATATTCACTGACTTAGAGAGAGGGGAAGAGAGAGAGACGGAGAGAGAGAAACATCAATCACACCAAACGTGCCCTGACCTCCAACCAGGGATCGAACCCACAACCCAGGCATGTGTCCTAACCAGGAATCTCACCCGAGACCTTTCAGTGCATGGGAGGATGCTCCAACCAACTGAGCTACACCAGCCAGGGCTCTGAATTTTAAATGTAAGAGCTGTCATCTCTAACTCCTCTTGCCCACAGAGTGAAATTATCCCACTTTCATTTTATAGATGGGGAAGTTGAGGCTCAAAGAGGAAATGTATGTTCAGGATCAACTGGACTCAAACCCATGTCTTTGGGCTCCTAACCCAGGGTATCCTCTGCTGTCCCATGCTAACCTAGGAGACAAGGCAGAGATCTCACAGGTTGAGGAAGTTTGGAGGGGACACAGAGGCCGAGGGTGCCAGGTCTGAGGAACAGAGTCATTGGGGCATCTGGGATGTTAATGTGGGGGTCAGGTAATTTAGGGGTTGATATTCATATTAAAAGAGCAGAGAGTGCCTGGCCAGGCATGGCTCGGTGGTTGAGCATCACCTAGGATCCAGGAGACCTCGGTTTGATTCCTGGTCAGGGCACATGCCCGGGTTGTGAGCTCGAGCCCTACCTGGGGGTGTGAAGGAGGCAGCCGATCAATGACTCTCATCATTGATGTTTCTCTCTCTTTCTCTTCCTCTCCCTCCCTCTCTCTGAAATCAATAAAGATATATTTTTAAAAAATAAATTAAAAAAAAATAAAAGAGCAGAGAGTGAAACTGGGGTGACCAAAGGGCAGGATGATGAAAGATTAGTTTTAGGGAACTTAGTTTCGGATTTGGTTACTATGAAGAGATCAATTTTTGGGCCCCCTGGTCAGAAATGGGAGTTCTGAATTGGAGGTTAGATTATGGGGTATTCTGGTCAGAGATGTGGAACTTTGGACCTGGGATTAAATTAGGGGTGACTCAGTTAAAATGGGGTCCAGGATTGGAGGTCAGGTTAGGGGGTACCCTGGTCAGGAATGGGGGTCCTGGGGTAGGGGCTGGGCTGGGTCCCAGGGCAGATCTTAGGGTCATCACCAGAGATAACTCCCATGGTAGGCCACAATGTTGGCGTGCCGGCAAGTTTTCAAGATGAGGATTTCCTTATGAAGTGTGGAAACATCATCATCTGCAAGGAGAGGCAGGAGAGAAAAGTCCACTGCAGGGAAGTCATATGGGGAGGGGGCGGGGATCCCAGTGTCCCCGGAGGTGGGGG